AACAGACAAATGATACGCCTCTTAATGACAAATTTATTGATAAAATGGAAGAACGAGTAAATGGTGGTTTTTTCATTAAAGTCAATAATCATTTGTTTTATCCACATTTCAACATCATTTCTTGCCTTTTTTTAACTAAAGCAGTAGCTTTATTCCTAAACATCTTCATCTGTGATTTGTGTTGCTCTCCTCACATTGTGTCCGTTTCCTCACAATTCTTGTTTTCGCTTCATATCTTTATTTGTGTCTGCTCTGAATAAGGAAGCAGCTGTGCTCTGCAGACAATGACATAACTCTGTGTGCACGTTAATGCTGAATGGTGAGCAACACACAAAGAGGGAAGGAAAAGGGACAAATGTCTCGTCTTTTCTGTCTAACTTTTATTGTCTGCTGGTGTTTCCCGTCTCTCTCATCCTCTTCCCCTCACCGCCTCCTCATTCTCTCCATCCTTCACTCCATCCCCAGAGTTACTGGGCTGTGAAATGTGAAAAACTGCAGCATGCATGGCAATTCATTATCTTGTCAAACTTCCTCAGGCCTGCCTCAAGCCATGGGCAATCAGGAGCGAAAAGCAGAGCGAGAAAAGGAGAGAAGAAGAAGTTCACGTGGTGGTCACTGCAGCAGGTCAACAGGTTGACACGAACAAGCAAAATAACAACGTGCGCATGAACAGATGAACGGCCTGCAGCTGGGACTTTTAGCTGGTGTTGCAGAGACGGATACAAAGATTGTGCAACAGATTTAATCAAATATGCACAAAAGTGACGCGACGTCATCCGTTGGATTTTAGGTGAACCAACTTGAAATAGCCATATTTAAGTGGTACTAAAGATAAAAAGTATCCACCAAAGAAGTTAAATATATGACACTGTTAGCAGTGTAGAACATACTTTATTAATTATATTTATTAATAATTCCAATATGAAATTATTTTCAGAAGGATAAATTAGTCTGACAAATGGAACGTCTTGGTAATTTGTTCCACTTTGGAGTAATCCCAGATTAGTTGAACAGTTTATCTGTTTGTTGGGTTGTTTATGCAAGCTGTAAAGACATTTTCTCATAAAAGAAGTCATTTGGAAACATTTCCAAATGTTGCTACATTACTGTTTTATGATCTAAAGTCAAGCTTTCTTCAGGGTTCTGAAAAACTGTCAACTAAAAGTCGTTTCATTTATCTCCAAAATCGAAAATCAGCACAATCTGAAACAAAACCAACTCTTTCTGTAAAACAAGCTTCTTCCCCCAAATACAATTTAACAATGTTCAACTTTTTTCATTTCACAGGAGCAAAAATTAGGATTTTATTACCTCGTATCACTGTGTGTCATGAAATAGCTACAGATGTTAGTTATGTTGCGCATGCAGCTGTTTCTACTGATCACGGCTGTATTTGTAGCAGATTTGTGGGCTGGAGCGTCTGAGCTCAAGGAAACATTGTGTCTCAGTAAAACAGAGCTGGCTGGTTTAGCATGGTGCTGTAATGACTCCAAACAAATCAATGCGTTTGAAAAGAACTACAGACACACGGAGCATGGAAACGAAGCGCTGAGGTGAAGACAAGAGACGTTTGCGTCGGCTGCTTTAAAGCACCGTTCGACTTTTAAACAAACACGTTGTTCACCATGTCTCGGCCTGTAAACGCAGCTTTGAAACAACCGCACGAAACCAAAACCTCCACTCCGATTACACCTCCGTCCTCCATTTGTGCTTGCCGTCTCCATTTTCCCTCTCGTTCATCGAGCTTTGGAGCAGCTCTGCTCTGAAATAAACGGATTACATCTAATTGGGGAGTCTGGGTTTGATCCTTGACCACTCCAAACACACACTCACACAAATCCCTCCAGCCCATCACGTCCATTCGGACCTAAAAAGACGCTGCAATTACAGAGAGAAGGCTGATCATTGTGTCAGGTGCAACCTGGACGACGGACAAAGGCTGGTTTTAGTCATAATGCAAAGCAGCTAATAAAAGAGGACTCTACCAGGAAACAAAGACCAGGAGCACGGACAGCTCGGAGAGATAAATGATGCCCACAAATCAGGCTGCCAGTGTGCACGTGCATGTGTGTGAGTGTGTGGTTCTGTCCGTCTGACAGCAAACGGCCAATTACTGTCGAAAGTGGCGGGATGAGTCCTGCCAGACCAAAGCTTTCCATTAGCGCATGCCAGCCAAGCATGTGCGCATGTGTGTGTGCATGTGTGTGTGCGATGGAGTGAATGAGGCAACAGAAAGACAGAAGGAACGAGGGTGGAAAAAGCGCGTGCGCGCCAGCTCTGTATGCGTTAATGTTTCTGTCTTTATTTTCTGAGGCTCTGACGCAGCTTCTGCAGACTCTTCTGACAAACGGAATATTTTCTGCTGGTTTCCAACCGCGTTAACCCCCCCCCCCCCCCCCCCCATCACAAACACTCTGCTGGACGGAAATAAATCCTACCTTTGACCTTAACTCAATAAATAATATCTGAATTAAGCCAACATTCCCAAATACTCTACAATATTTCAACAATATATCAAAAATAAAATTATGGACATTTTAAATGCTGGTTTCACGTTTTTCCAGATGACAGTTTAAAAAAAAAAACCAGTTCAATATTTAAATGCAGCTAAAAAAAGACATCCAGGAGTTAGTTAGCCTAAAATTAGCATCTTACCATGACCATGCAGCTTACACGAAAAGAACGAGCCTGTAATGTGCATCATGTGACAACAAAACATCAAACACTTATTCCTAATGGAACAAATATTAAAAGAGCTTTACGTGCACTCTGCACAACAAATGTGAAACTGAGTGTTTGAAAGCAGCTTTGAACTTCAGTGTTTCTGATAAGCTACAGTGAGATGTTCTGGACCAACCTCTGTACTGAGTTTTGGTCATGATGCAGATATGAGCCAAGAAATTGAGGATTTAAAAACTGCATTCCTTATGTACGCCTGTTATCCATCCATTATCTTCACCCGTTTCTTCCTTTTTGGGTCACTGGGGCCCATATCCACCAGTCACTGTGTGAGAGGTGGGGGACACCCTGGACAGGTCTCCAGTCCAATACAGGGACACATGGAGACAAACAACCATTCTCTCTCCCACCTAGGTACAATTTAAAGTCACCAATCAGCCTAACATGCATGTTTTTGGTCTGTGGGAGGAAACTGGAGTACCCGGAGAAAACCCGGAGCACGGAGAGAACATGCAAACTCCACCCAGAAACCAACAAAGTCCATGCTCAATAATCCAGGTATACAATCCAACAATTTTCAGTCAGGTGTTGGATTGTATACCTGGATTATTGAGCATGGACTTTGTTGGTTTTGAACCAGTTTGATATGAATGTCGACGAGGAAGAGGGCTGGCACCGGAGGAGGGGGCGTCCCAAACAGACCATCTTAGCACCAACATAACTGGTTTGTTCCACTTTGGAGTAAGCTGTTGGGGGGAAGAATCAGTTTTGTGTTGTGTGTTTCCTTGACTGATGAAGCCTTCTGGATGGAAGGTGAAACGTTTCAGCAAAAAAAGAAACCGTCCAGATGACCTGACTGAAAACTGAACATTAAACAACTTTGACGGGTCATATCTTTAAAGTAACACCTCAAATCTGCAAATGCTTTCCCCTCCATTTAGGGAGGAAACTCCTCCTTCGCCGCTCGTCATCACTTTTAGCCAGGTCACACTGGCTGAGTGGTGCACAATGAACCCGCTGACTTCTAGGAAATAAATACATGAAACCACTTTGTGCCTATTCTTATTTATGTCAGTTACACTCAAGAAGCCATTTAGGAGAGAACAGAGCAGAAATATGTTTACAAGGAGTAAAACCAACTGATTATACTGAAAAAAGGCCGAGGCAGCAGAAAGTGGTGTCAGTGAGACAGACACCGAGGGGAAACGGTTTGTGCTTCATTCAGCAAGAAAACATGTCTCCAGTACACACGTGCACAAACCCAGCATCGCCTACAAATTCAGAGCTGTGCAGGTGATTCAGCAGATATTTAAGATAAAGATGGATTTGAGTTACCAGCTGAAGAGGTGAACATTTAAAGAAGCAGCTTGTGCGCTCCACAGCGAGTGAGATGCATTATTCAGCAGGATTATCCTCGGACAAATGGTGGCAGATGTGCGCGTATTATTTCAGGAAAAAGTCAATTTCCATTAAGCAGGTGAGCATCGCGTCCTGCCCGTGTGTGTGAGGATAATTTAAACAGATCAGGCTGACTGCCTCTTCCATTGATCACATCAGAACGCATCACTGTCCAAGATCCAAGCAGCCAAATGTCCAATCATCACTTTGGACCACAATCACGTCCTTTCACCTTCAATCTGCTCCTAACGAGGAGCCAAACTCAGCCAGGGACAGGAAGCTGTAGATCTGAGCTGCATCACATTTTAAATCTGAAAACTGCCTAAAAAAGTTCAAACATTCAACTCATACGCGCTTCTACTCACGATATTCATCCTAAACCATGTTTGAAGTAACAAAGAAACATGTTCAGCCTTTCCGCCGTGTTTGCAGGTTTTACGCACCAGAATCTGATGATTAAAGTCTGAATATCAGTGTGTGTGTGCGCGCGTGTGTGTGTGTGTGTGTGTGGGGGGGGGGGTCCACGGTGCAATAGCGTCACGCTTCTGTTTTTAAATTAACCATTAAGTGTCTTTATGAAGCTTTAGAGCTTCAAGATGGTGCGTTCAAGGATCGTTTCTTTGTAGAGTGTGCGCAAACACGTTTTTTGTGCGTGTTTACGCACACACCTGTTTTAAATGTTGTCTGTGCCATTAGTGCGCAGAGATCCGTGTATCCTCCCCCTTCCCACCCGTGTGTGAGCGCGTGCGTGCGTGCGTGTTTTCTCCTGTCAGCGGACCTCGCCGAGCTCCATGTGAGCGGAAAAAAAAAAAGCGCGACGCAACAACACGGGGCGCTCCACGCGCGTGCAGAAACAGCAGAGCACGAGCACGAGCACGAGCTGAGAACAGTTCCAAACAGGAGATAAACGCATCGTCTCTGACCTGCTGCCAGTTCTCCTCCAGGGAAGGCATCGCGGAGAAATAACCAGTGTCGTGCACGAGCTGGAGTTCCTGGAAAATACTGTAATTCGCCAAAACATCCATAGTTGAAGTGAAGAAAAACAAAAAAATAAAAAATAAAACGGGTTTGAAAAGTCCCAAATTCAGGCGTTAAACACGCACTTCATCTTCTTCTTCTTCTTTTTATTTTCCCAAAGTAGAGAAATGTAAAAAAAATAAAAGCTGGGTGCGGGTGCGCGCACCGCAGCTCTCTGATTGAGACAAAGCTGTAAAAAATGACAGAAAGTGTTAATTTGAGCTTTGTCAGTGGATCCTCTCTTCTCCCAGCGCGCTCCGTCACGCCTCTCTCCTCAGTCCGAGTTTGGGGTGGGGGGGGGAGGGAGAGAGGGAGGGTGCCAGATTTATTTCCGCATTGCCAGATTGCCAATCGGTCTCCAGGTTGCCAGGTTTGCTCCTCCAGCAGCAGCAGCGGCAGACTGTACCCCGCTGCACTCCGCGCGCGGCGTGGAGAGAGAGAGAGGTGGGCGGGGCCAGCTGTCAGTCAATTTAATGCGTAGCCTTTTAAGGTAATTAGAGTTGATGATGTCACTGGCGCTTAATTAGGGAGGAGCCGAGGAGGAGGGAGTGGGCGGAGCTTTCAGGGCTGCCCGGGAGGCTATTGGCTGCAGGGAGCTGTCAGTCGGGCTGCGGTGAGGAGTGAGTTATTTTTAGAGGCCTATATAAAAGCTGCAGCTTCCTGCTTCAGTCAGAGCAGGCTGCACGGGCGGAGAGGTGAGGAGCTGCACGTGCAGGAAGAGCCAGGTGAGATCAGGCAGCAGGTGGGGGGAGTTGATCTCTTGTATTTTCTTTCACCTCACATTCCTGCACGTGGTTCTGTGGTCTGCATGGAGCAGAGAGAAGGGTTCTCCCACCTGGTCATCACCTTCATCACCTGCTTCCCTGTCCAGTCAAAATAAACATGTTTTGTTTTGTTGTCGCCTTTTAAAATAAACTTTTATATATAAACTAAAATTCAATGCATCACTTGAAAACCTGTTATCACATGAAGAATTCGTCCATATTGAAGAATAACGTCTTTCAACAGCAAGTTATTCATTAATTTGTCTGCCTGTTAGCAAAATATCTCAGAAACCGCTGGCCAGATTTGAATGAAACTCCTAATCAGTGGATAAATATCTACAACTGATTAACTTTGAGTTAATAATTCAAGACAAGTAGCCTAAAGACAAATCTAACACGTTCTGTAGCTGAGAGTCGTCCCCACATTTGAAGCACTAACTGATCCCACAGATCTTTATTTAAAACTTTGTAGACTATTCTTAAAGAAACACTAAATTCTTATTTAAAGCTTTGTGTTACAAATGTTACATCATTTCCCAAAGAACAGGAATTATTTAAACAAGCTGGTAACGACGTGAATGCGCCTAAAATTAAAAGACCCGGTTAATAAAAAGTCATTTGGTTTGAGTTTGTACAATTCTAGAGCCAAATAAAAGCAACAGATGTTTTACTCGGGTCGTCGTTACTTTTGTGAAGAAGATTAAATTTTATGGTCGATGTTCGGTGCTTGTGACGTCTGTCCTTCATCACAGCAATTTGTCAAGGTGCCAGATAAAGCAGGTAACACCTCAACAATTCAGCAGCTACAAAAATGTTGCACTGCCTCCTGAATATATATATTTTAAAAGTTCCTTAGCAATAACTGGAATGTCGTTTTGGAGACGTGGAATTACAACGAAGCAAAAGCCCTCCAGCCTGAAGGGGCCGAGTGACTCGCTCTCCTACGTCACCTCTGCAGGCGCAGGTCTGGGTCCACCTGGACTGAACCCTCGACTCGCACGTTCAAACAGAAACGTTCCTAGGACTAATCCTAGGACTTCGTCTCTCCCCCCTCTCCAACGCTCAGTCCTGAGTCTGACTTTATCAATCTGCTAATCTGGGGTCATATAATCCAACATCTTGTTACTTTTTATTATGTGGTACTGAATTTAATGCATATTTGATGTTTTATAAAGTGATTGCAGTCCGAACGGTCACATTTCATTCAACTGTTACATCAGTGATGTACACGTAAGCAGATCGTTTCAAGTATTGATAATATTGACACCAATAAATACCTGTAATGCAGTTTAAAGCTTAAAACTTCAAATGTCTTCAGCTACAGAATAAACGTCCAGTTGCTTCGTCTTTGTTCTTTCAATTTCTCATGTCCTGGATGACTGAGGATCCAAAGCAACAAGTGATACCAACATTAGTGTCGGACTGTATCAATATTAATGTGACGGGATCAATATTTGAGTTTCTTTCAATTTCAGTACGTCATGTGAAACACTGCGACGAGGAGCAGACGAGAGACACGATCAAACGGAAGCAGTGGAACAAACAATCGTGTCAACCAGGAATTTTGTAAGTTTTGCACAACAACGTCCCAACTGATACGTGTGGTAACGTCCATATTTACTCCACTAAATACGGTGTGTAGTGTAGGGGGTCGCCTCAGGTATAGGCGTTGTGACAATTATATGTGAAGGGGATGTATCCCGCCCCCACGTTTAAAAAATATTAATTTGGACACCTCCACATTTACCATGAAATATTAGTTCACCCAGCGGTCTATTTCTTCGTGAACAAATCCATTCCACTTGACTAACAGGAGAATATTCAAACCTCTAAAAGTCCGCTGCGGGTTTTCCTGGTTACCTACAGGCACTCACGGGGGGAGGAGAAGGAGACACCTCTGTTTTGTGTGCTAGCTTAGCGCCACATTAGTGCTGGCAGTTGTTGACGGGGGTGTGGGGTTAGGACATGTGAAAAAAGTGGAGCGCTACATCTAGTATATTAGCTAACACGTCTGTATTGTGCACCGCTAGCTTTGCGTTACGTTAGTTCCGGCAGTTTGACATGCGGGGATGGGATGCGTGAGAGAAGCGTAGTGTGCTCTATTCACACATGGGGAGCTGTTGGTCAGACTACTTCTTGTGACGTTCTCTCTTAAATAGTTATTGAATCAAGTGTTTACTTGTGAAAATACACCAGCATGAAAGAAATGGCATCTACTTTATTCAAAATCTTCTGGGGGAGGACCTGGTAAAATAAAGGTGATTGTTTTTATTTATTGTGTGTGTTTTCTGTGATTGTCCAGTGTCAGGATGTTAAAGCACAACCAACGTAGAACAGAATATTTTAGTAGAAGTGCCGACTCTAAAACGAGAATGTTTTGAAATGGCTGTTTTGAGGAAACAGTTTTATGAAACAACATATGGTGGATGATGCGTTTAATTTCTAAAACTTGCCATTATCATCAGTTTTGCAATAAATGCCAATTTCTTTCAACAAAAATATGAAGGTCCTGACTGAGGTCATCCAAAGAGCTATATACAATATTTAATCTGCCCCGTTCAAAATGGCTTGAATATCTTTTTAATCTACAGCATTTTAATTCATGAACATGTCAAATACTAATGTATGTACATGTATGTATTTACATGTACATGAAATAATATATTTGAGATGAATACATGCTGGTTTAATACTTCAGAGCTGTGCAGTTAGTTGGTGGATCGTTGCTGCTCATCACACACACACGGATATAAAACAGACTAAATGTTCCTAAAATAAGCTTGAAAGTGCTTCCACCTGCCTCAGTCTTATGCAACAGCCTCATGCGCAGAGCCCATTATGAGAATTTATGTTATTGAGTTAACAGTTGCTTTGTGTTGCCGTGTGCTCGTGCATCTTCTCACTCCCTCAGCATCTTCACAGTGTCTCGTCTCTGGGGACAAGACGTTTTCTCTGAGGACCACCGGGGGCCAGATGGCTTCTGGATTGACTGTTTTAGGACATTTTCCTCATTGATTTTTCTCTTTCCTTTACAGCTCAGGCTGCCGCTGAAAGAAAGAGCAGAGCGGGGTATAAGGTGTGCAAATAGGAACCGATCGATACACGACTGACTACCAATAAAAAGGCAATAAGAAGATTTACAAGCAAATTGAAAACACAATGTATACAGAACTGTTCTCTGATTTTACTCCTAAAATACTTGTGTTCCTGCTCATGTTGCAACTCCTACATTAAATAACCACTGTTACACAAATCTAGGGAATACTCCATTGTGCAAAAGTTTTAAACCGTCCATACAATGACGCATCTAGAAATTTTTAACGCGGCAGCCACTGAATACCACCAAAACCAAAAACCAGAACAGAATTTGTTACATCATATAAAGGCTATCTGACAATTACAGCAATACAGTACTTAGGAATCACCTTCTGATACACATACGTTTACTTTGGTTTTTTTTCTTACTGTTGATAATACTTATTGAGGAAAGAATCTATGCAACTCATGGAGACTTGTCCTCTCTTAAATTTGTATTTATATATAAAACACTGCATAAAACATCTTGAGATCCTGCTTCCTGACACTGAGGGCATCGATTTTAAACTCCTTGTACTTATTCTGGTAGATAAAATTTTAAGTTTCATTTTTAATTTTAAATAAAAATATATGTTTGTGAGGTTCTATTAATCCTAAAATAGAAGAAATTAAAAACACCTGGGACTCGACAAAACTGTGGTGAAAGGGTGCCACCAATTTTTTTAGCGGTGGCCAATGCCCCTTCTGGCCCCCTCTGGATAGTGCCCCTGCATCCCCAACTGTTTTTTATTTTATTTTAATCCAAACAGACCAATTTTCTTGTGATCTCCTTAGATGATCTTAATGAATAGTTCTTTAGGTTTTCTGGAGGTCTTGCACAGTTTTTGATTTTAACTTTAGTTGCTTTTTCATTCATCTTCCATTTAGTTCTTGTACAGGACCATGACAGCAACTCGTGCCAAGGTAAAAAAATTAAGCAAATGAAAAGGTTGAGATAAAACACGAAGTGTCAGACCAATAAACTATCCACAGATGAACAGTGTCGGAAATCCGTGTTTTTAGGAAACAAGGAACAGGTCTGGCAGAGACCTTAGGGTCTTCTCTTGACATTTGACTTCACCATTTTACCAGGCATGAAAAGCAACTTGTGGAACAAATCATGTCAATAAACAATTTATAAAATGCTTCTTAATACTAATTTGAAAGCAATAAGTCATCAGTTAAACATCTTATGTGAAAATGTTCATGTATTTTTTAAAATTAGAGTTCCTCATTGTGACTAGTTT